AGAGCCAGAGCTTGAAGGGGACCCATTCTTCCTAATGTCACACATGGCACATAGATGGCTGTGGTCCTCAGAAGATCACTGGAGCCATGACCCTAAGGAGATAGAACAAGGCCTTATTTGTCTATTAATTCTTTATCCTCTGAGACAAGTGTATCCTTCTTTTCTTATAGCCAGTTTTAAGCCTTCCATCTCCCAGAAGTGAGCAGTCTATATGCCTTTAAAAGGAGATGGTCCTACTAAGTGCTATCATCTGAAGTCCCTGTAAACAAAGAAGTGAATATTCAAGAAACTGGATGCAAGAACTCTAAAAATTGTTAGTCTTCATTACTTTTTTCTGAGATAGCTTAATCTTGCTCTATGGAGGGTTTGCTCCCAGACATGGTGATACTACCAGATCGTAACTAACCTTCTGCCCATTCTCATGTCACTGTTGATTAACCACGATTGATATTGAGATAAATGAATGTTTAGTACATCTTTCCACCTAGACTGAGTCTTGTTGCATTTTTCACAAGACAAACTCTTTTAAGAAGTGAGTGTTGCTTGGGTGACCTTCGTCGTTTATTTAAGCCGAGATCCTGGTTTTTAATTTCTACATAGGATTAATTACTGAAATTCATGTCTAGTATGAATATTTTATGATGATTTTTGAGACAAAGAACGTTTTGCCTAAGCCATGAAATTAATTATTAATACTTCTAAACTCTAGCTGAAATGGTGATTTTTTTGTGTGTGTGAAGTGGGCATTCTTTACTCTTTTCACATATTTTGTTCCCATAGAAAAATGTGGCTAGACGTGGTGGCTCACGCTTTCAATTCCAGCACTTTAGAAGGCTGAGGTGGGTGGATCACCTGAGGTCAGGAGTTTGAGACCAGTCTGGCCAATGTGGTGACACCCCGTCTCTACTAAAAATACAAAAATTAGCTGGGTGTGGTGGCACATGCCTGTAGTCCCAGCTACTTGGGAGGTTGAGGCAGGAAAATTGCTTGAACCTGGGAGGTGGAGGCTGCAGTGAGCTGAGATCACAACACTGCACTCCATCCTGGGAAACAGAGACTCTGTCTCAAAAAAAAAAAAAAAAAAAAAAGAAAAGAAAAATGTGGTATTTATTTAAAGTTTATTTATGCTCAGATGTTATAGGCTGAATTGTGACCGCTCAGAATTAAAGTCTTAACCCTCAGTACCTCACACTGTGAGCATATTTGGAAATAGGGTTACTGAAGATATAATTAAGTTAAGGTGAGGTCACAGTAAAGTAGGGAGGGACCTTGATCCGATATGATAGGTGTCTTTATAAAAATCAGAAATGTGGGCACAGGCATGCAACCAGGGAGAATGCCGTCATGTGATGTTGTTACACAGCCACAGGCCAAGAGCTGCCAGGAGATCAGAGAGAGGCCCAGACTTGGTCTTTCCCTAGCCATGGCCTGCCAACACCTTGAGCTTGGCTTTCCAGCCTCCAGAACTGTGAGAAAATAAACTTCATTTCTGGCATACCCAGGAAATAACCCATCACACTGCAGACATTGCCGCTGAATTTAGCTAACACTGGGGGTCATGCGCTTTATATCAGAGCCCGTGACCAAAGGTGAACTAAGTCCTCCAGGAACACAGTCTAGTGGGGGAGGTGAACAGACATGGATTGGGAGCTTTGACGAGCATAAGGATGACAGCACCAGATCATAACTAACCTTCTGCCCACTCTCATGTCACTGGTACCTCACAGTCACCAGCTTCAACTAGACCCATGAAACTTCCTAACAAGCCTACGAGTTTCCTCATTAACATGCTCAGCCACATCCCTCAGTGACCATTCAAGTCACCACTCAGCAAAGGACATTTTCCTACCTCTCATGTGGTAGTATTAAAAGATAATTTACTTAAAGACTTTTCTTTGTTTTGTTTAAAAAAATAAAACTGGAACTTTCCAGAAAGACAGAGTTTCCTTTTCTTACTGTCACCATCCCTCAGGCATCACTTTGCTCCATGCTTCTGGACTCTCAGCCATATTTGGAAGGCCAAGGTGGGTGCATCACCTGAGGTCAGGAGTTTGAGACCAGCCTGGCCAATGTGGTGAAGCTCTGTCCCTAGTTGGGACTTGCATGTTCTGCAGTGAAAGTTCTGCCTTCCCTGGGAATGCAAGAATGGGTGTCTGCAGCCTTCCAGTTGGGCTGAGGGCTGTCTAGCTCTCCAGACAACTCCTTATCAATGCCCTTTGTGACACAGAGAGTTAGTCAAAGTTGTGACTCACCAGTTTAGCGACAACCAGGGTTCAGTGTATTATGTGTAACAGCTTTCAATGCTGTTCAGTAAAAGTGAGCTGACATTTGTTCTGGTGATAAAATGCACAGATGCAGGATCGCCAGTGGCTGCTTAAGAGCAAAGTGTCCTTGAGAAATGTTTCCTTCTTGGTGTGACTGTTGCTGTCCCTGGGTGGAGCTGGTCGTAGCTTCTTTGCTATAATTTGTGTGAGCGATGTTGCTGGTACGTTGCCATGGTTACTTGAACCCACTGGGCAACAGAACAAATTTCATTATAATGAATGTGAACACAGCAAGCAAGCCGTGGGTGCCAGTTTCTGGAGGAGCCACCTCCCTTGTTAGCTCATGCAGTCCCTGCCCAGAGTAAATGAGCAAGAGCAACAACCCGTTTGGCTCCCTCTGCTCATCTTAGTGAAGAAACCATGACTAATTTTTTGGGAAAAGAGACAAATAGATTGTCGTTAGAAACTTGCTTTGTGACAATAGTTGTGCGTAACTACTCTGCTAAGAGTGTAATGAGTAAATGCTTTCTAAGCAATTTGAATTCAGTTTAATATAGTTATGTGGAGCCCCATATGTTATCCAGTTGAGGAGAACTGCCAGGCAATGAAACAAAAACGAAGGTACTTACTACCGTAGTGACATTTAGGTTTGGGTGTGTAAAAGTACCTGATTGCCGATATGGAATTTGCAATAAACGAGTCTCTTAAGGAGCCATTACTGCCTGGTGGAAAACTAGCACAAGTGTGGTGGGCTTTGGAGACAGGAGAGCTGGGGTTCAAGTCCTGATTCTGATTTCACCAAGCTGTACGCGGCTGTATACCTCAGGGCGAATTGTTCGGTTTCTCCAAGCCTCAATTTATTTATCTCTTTATTTGTTTATTTTTTAAACTTTTGTGGGTATATAATAGGTGTGTATATTTATGGGGTACATGAGATGTTTTGATATAGGCATGCAATGTGAAACAAGCACATCATGCCGAATGAGGTATCCATTCCCTTGAGCATTTATCCTTTGAGTTGCAAACGGTCCATTTGCACTCTTTATGTTAAAATGTACAATTATTACTGACTGTAGTCACCCTGTTGTGCTGTCATATTGTGGGTCTTTTTTATTCTTTCTACTTTTTTTCCCATTAATTTATTCATCTCTTTAAACTGTGATAGGAATACCTATTTTACAGGGAATTAATAAGGATTACAGATCATGAACATAAATATCCTGAGAAATAATAGATATACAAGGCGTGGGGGTTAGGTTATTTATTTTTTAGATTTTTTTTTTAGTTTAAAAATAAATTGAAGAAAATCTCACCGTTCTTACTGTAGTGTTTGTGTAATATTCATTGAATAGCTTAGTTTTTTCAAGTATTGTTATCTGGAGTAAGTCTACTATATTCAAATAAAAAGATCCTTTGGCTTTGAATAGGTTATTTTCTTTTCTGTATTAAAGCAACAAAAGTCATAAATAAGTCCCTTTGTACATTTCAACTTGAGATACATGGACTTTTATAGGGTTATACCCACATCAGAGAGCCTTTCCCTAATTACTGGAATACAACAGCTAGTTAGAGGGAGAAAAGGCAGTGTCACTATTTGGACCAATAGTTAGAAATATTTTTTCTATTTAAGATTTTAGAGGAAGTTTAAATAAAGTAAACGCATTTTCTAAATTGGATTATACTTGGAATAAGTGCCCTCTGAGAGGTTGCAAATGCCCTCTTTTTTACTGCCTCCCTGGAAATACCTTTAGTTGTTGAGAGCACTTGAAGTCTGGGGGACTCTGGTATAAAAATTCCAATCATTTACCTTGGGTTAGAGGCTTGTTTAGTAATTTCCCCCTAAAATCTTTTAAGGAGAATGCCCTTGGGGAATGGGAGACACATACAGAGCCCTGCCATCTCCCTGTACACAAAGGGCTTGTAGCCTGGTCAGTGGCACCTGCACAGCGGAAGGAAGCAAGCGTCCTTGGAGGAAGATGCGCTGCATTGTGGCTGGACAGACGGAAGCCAAAGAGCAGGTTTTTGACAGTTTTCCCAGCACTCCCTGTTAAAGAGGGAGAGAGAGAGAAAGACAGACAGATAGGAACACTTACAGAGAGGCACTGTCTCTGGCATATAGGTGTTTTCCAGCCAAATAGTTCATTATACTTTTTCGTGATCTAGAACAGTAGTTATCAAGGGGAGAAGGGTGTGCTTTAGTCCCCCTGGGGCATTTGGCAATGTCTGGAGACACTTTTGTTCATCACAATTGGGGAAGTATTAATGGCATCTAGGGGGTGAAGGCCAGGGATGCTGCTGTACAACCTCTGATTCATGAGAGAGAGACCTGCCACAAAGAATGATCTAGCCCAAAATGTCAGTAGTGAAAAGGTCCAGAAACCTTGGTCACTGGGTCGAGAATAAAAGCACCCTTTCAAGCTGTCTCATGTCCTTTTCTGTGACTCTCTCTACTCAGAATATCACCTTCTGATGGCTTATTTGGCATTTTAGACAGTTTGACTCAAGAAAGAGATGTCCTAGCTGGTGGCTGATAAGCTTACAGCCTCTGCAGGAAATAAATGGCCATCTTGCTGATTCATAAATCTCTTACAATTCAAGTCAGTTCTGAGTCTGGTCAGTTTTGGATCCCTGAAAAAAAAAAAGTCGTAGGAATAATAATAAGTAGGTACAATTATTAGACCCAGTTCATAGAACAGAAAACAAACAGAGAGGTTATGTCCTAGCCAGCAAGAGAGAGGAGGAGTCTCCAAATTCTTTCGCTTCCCCTCCTGGACACACAGCTCAATGACATTTCCTATTGGCATTTGGGTGTCTTACATGATCTAAGCAATGTAATGTGGGCAGAGTGGTGAATTCCTAGACCAAGCTAGGCCCATTAAATGTGCTGATGGCCTTTCATTCTCTCTCCTCGCTGGCATCCAAATAGACAGGGCTTCAAGGACTTTGGGAATGGTGGAGCCACAGGCTGGGAAAAGCCTTGGTTCTTGACTTGCTGCTTGGAGGAGCCTGACCAGGAAGCTTTGCCTTATTAGAGTGCTGCAGGAGCAAGAAGTAAACTTACATTGTGTTAAGCCACTAAAATGTTGAAAGAAGTTAGCCTGCTTTGACTAGTAAACTAATAAAACAATGAAATGGACAAGCATAGACATTAGGTGATCATGGGTTGTGGCTAGTTGACTGGGATTATGTGAAGCAATGCAATTCGATCAAACTTGTGCAAAGGTACAAAGAAATTTACAAATTGATGATGCTCTGAAAATGCTGCTGTTTTTATTTGTAGGAACTCTCTTCTGAATCATGTTTAAGAATCAGAGTATACATTAAATCCCTTCCTCAGTATTTTACATGATGGAGAAAAGCTTGTTTATTTCACAGGCAGTCATTTAAGTGATTTCAGGTTCCTAAACCATGCATGAAGAGTCATTAATTCACATATTATCTCCTAAAATAAGTGTTGCATGTGAGTCTGGGACTTAGCTGAGAAATGTGGAATACACAGGCATTTTTTTTTCCAGACCATTCCCAGTCGGTTGCACATCTCAGGAGCCAAAGCTTATTACTTTCCAAATTGTAATTTAAACTTGTTAAATGGCCTCCAGACCCGTCTTTTTCATGTAGCACATGGGAAAAACTCAGTGCCTTGGCTCCAAATGCAGTTTTAAGAATTTCTCTTTCTGCAAAAGTCTACCTCCTTTGGGGCTGCAGCATCATCATTTCATAGGAACTTTGGGCAGGAGCATCTTTTAATGAAAACTTTTTGTTTTTTGTGTTTTTTTAAAGAGGCATTTGCTGTTGCATCTGGCAGGTGGTGTGGCTCTTTCTGAGAGCGTTGCAAACTCATGATGTAGTCACATTTTAGGATCTTTGCAGGATGGCTGTAAGGATAAATTGGGCTTTATAACTATGCAGAGAATTGACCTGGTAAACACATTAGAGGTGGATTATCCTCTGTTGCTCCCTAAATAGCAGCCGAGGAATGTTCAATCCATAGCCATTTCAGAACCTAAGCAGGAACTTTGTTGCTGAGAAACAGAAGGTTGATATTTGCTCCACATGCTCAATTTTCTTGAATGGAGAAAGCCTTCTGTGGCACACCACCTGCCTACATGAAGACCAGGCTCCCACAAGCATGTATTGTACATGGGAAAATATGCATGAAGTGTGCATGTCACATACGATAAACATGCAATGTTCCATATTAAAGACTTTAAGGAATGGGAAGATTTTCAGCAAAACTGTGTTTTCTCATCTTTTATTTTTATGGATATGAAACTCCAGTGTAGGTACTAGGACACAGGAGGGCAAGGAGGGAGGAAGACATTTATATACTTCAGTATAGTAAACTCTGTATTCTGAACAGTTTTTTCATGATTTTTTTTTTTTATCATCTTCCAAGCAGCAGATTCTGCAACATGGTTAGAATTGGATTTGGGCTGTGAGTTTGATCAATAATTAATAGAGAAGAACTTTTAAGTGTGTTGAGGAAGAACTCGACTGAAAATAAAAGCAGCTTCTTTTTGCTTCTTGAATTAGGGTGGAATGTTTATGCTGCAGTAACGAAAATCCCCAAATGTAAGTAACCAAACAATGAAGGTTTATTTCTTACACCACACACTCATTGCTGGAGGGCTCTAATTCATGTCATTTCTACTCTGAGACCCAAGCTGATAGAGGCTCTTCCATATTGAATGTCATAGAATTCAGTAACAGTGGGGAAAACCATGGAGGCCCACACATGGGCTCTTCAACAATGTAGCAAAAATGAGACACACATCATTTTGTTTTATTGGCCAGAGCAAGTCATATAGCTAAAGCTAACTTGAAAGAGTAAAGTCTGATCATCCTGATACCAGAAATAGGACCTCTACATTGGCAAACAGTCATACACATTTCATTGTCCCATACTAACAGACCTGCACTCACACACATAGAGACGTTTAGCCTTAAGTCCAAATGTGAGATTGACCGCCAGAGGAAAATAAAGACATCTAATTCAGGACAGTTTTAGAATTGTAGCTCAGAATAGGGAGATACACAATGAATAAGATTCTTCTGCTGGATAAGGGCTTGTTAGTCAACAGGTAGTGGAAATGCATTCAGGGGTCACTTGTCCACCTAGCCTCTGTTGCAGACTAGCACTACATCATTTGAACTGAGGATATTTAATTTAGTCATCTCATTAAAAAATAAAGTGAATACAGTTCAGACTACATTTTGACTTAAATTTCTTTTCTTTGTGAACAGTAGGTCAAATATCAGTGAGAAATACATCCAAGATGTGAAGCATTGTCACTGAATTCCATTTTTGAGGTCTGTTAAGCAGAATAAAGGCAAATACAAAGTGTGAGAAGAAGACTTTAATGTGTAATTAGAATTAAAGGTGATAATTTCTGATTTTATTGCCACAGGTATCATCTCAGTTCTTTCTTGTTTGTAACTGTTTACAACATTAAGGTAACCTCTTAGTGTTATTTTATTTTTTTCTTTCCCCTAACATTTTTCTTAGTTTTCTTTACCCCAAATAAGGAACATGCCAGTTGCCTTGGAGAAGTTGGAAGAGACAACACAGCAATAAAATGGAGCCATCCCAGGTTGTGGGAAGGCAGGACAGATGGATAAATTATGATGAGGAAAAGAGATTGGCTGATATCTGTCTAATGCAGCTACCAACAAAAACAAAATCTCAGACTTCTCTTTTGAAACTCCCTGTTAGGTCGAAAAGAAAATAATAAAATTAACTCAGCATGATGCCTGGAGAGCAAACATTTCATTCTGCTTTGTTTTTGTCTCAGGTTTTAATTTATCAAACACATGCAGAGAAGGTCTCTCATGCTACCTTCCGGTCTTGCTGTATTTTAACATATAGCAGAACCTAACAGCGATCTGACCTGCCATGGCAGCCTTCCCTAAAGCAGGTTCATTACCCAGCATTAGCCTACTTTGTGCACTAAAATATTGAAGAAAATATTTACAAATAATGTAGCTGATAAGGTACTTGTATCCAGAGTATGGATTCTGGATACAGAATATGTATACAGAATGTAAGGAAATCTTATAACTGAGTAATAATAATAAAAAAAAAAACTAATAAATGTGCAAATGATTTAAAAAGACATTTTGCCCAGGAACACATACAAATGTTCAATAAGCATATGAAAAGGCGATCAGTACCTTTAGTCATTAGGGAAATGCAAACCAAAACTACCATGAGGTACTCCTTCATACCCACTTGAATGAAAAAGACAGTTAATAACAAATGTTGGTGAGGATGTGTGGAAAGTGACTCTCATACCCTGCTGGTTGGAAGGTAAAATTGTACTGCCATTTTGGAAAACACCTTGGTAATTCCTTAAATAGTTAAACTGGAGTTACCGTGTCACCCAGCAATCCACTCCTTGGAGTACATATCTGAGACAAATCAAAACATATGCCTGAACAAAAACATGTGCATGGATGTTCATAGTAACATTATTCATAGTAGCCAAAGAGTACAAAGAACTGAAATATCTATCACCAACAAATAGATGAACAAAATGCAGCATATCCATAAAATGGAATATTATTTGACAATGCAAAGAAATGAAGCATGGATACATGTCACAACATAGATGAACCTTGAAAACATCATGCTGAATGAATGAAGCTAGTAACAAATGACCACATACTATATGATTCCATTTACCTGAAATATCCTGAGTAGGTAAATCTGGAGAGACAGGTAGATTAGTGGTTGCCATAGGCTGGAGTGGGACCCGATGGTAGGGTGGAGCTACTGCTAATAGTTATGGGTTTTTTTTTTTTTTTTTTTTGGAGTGATAGAAATATTATAAAATTAGATTGTGATGGTGATCACACAACTCTGTAAATAGAGTAAAAGCTATTGAATTGTATATTCTAAATGAGTGAATTTTATTTCACTAAAGCTATTTTGTTAAAAACAAAACAGTAAGGTGGATTTGACTCAGTTCCAGTACTGAAACATAACACTGCCTGGGAGGGTTTGCTAGCTCAGTAGTTTATAATGCTGTGTAGTGGGTTCTAATATCTGTCCAGGTCTTCTACCAAGAAATGGATGACAACTCTTAACTGTTCCAATGATCAACTTTTGGAGGGCTTTCCCTGCCTCCACTCCACCCCACCTACTCTGAGATGTCTCATTTCTTGCTTCTTGCTTCAGGGCGTAGGGTTGGCTAAAAGTTCATGACACTCTCTAATATACTTGTTTGAAATGCAGTATGAAAGTCCTCAATCCTGATATCCACTAATGACTATGGTACGCTTGCTTCCTTTCAGTGTATTCCACAAATGCTGGCCACCTGCCTTAACAGTGAAAATAACTGGCTGTGTGATGCTGGAGCTATCTCGAGTTTTATCAAATCTGCCTGCCTTGGTGTGGTCTTGGTCTCACTGTAGGATGACACACACTTCCACGGTCAGGTGCTGTGTCCCTGGGGAAAAGTTGTAAAACCCTTTTGGATAAAAAAGAAACATTCTGTTTGGGATTCCAGGGGCAAATCATTCAGCTATTCCTGGGTTCCCTTATCCTCTCTATGCAGTGCCCCTGGACTTTTCCATAGCAGAACCCCACAGGGATATACCAGTTAAGGCCATTAAGCCAAATAGTTTATGGACTATACTTAGTTAAACGTTTTAGGCACATAACACATTTTTGTTAAATCAATTATTAATTGTGTAAAAACCATCTTTCTGCCACTTTTTACAAAAGAGACCTGAATTACTGTAAATTATATAACATTTTTCATTAACTTTTTAGCTGGAGAAACTCTTCATCTCAACCAGGATTTGCTGTAACATATAAAAATAGCTATTATGAATTCTCTTAAGATGTATATGAAAAATTTATTTTTAGTAGAAGTGACAGCCCAGATATTTTCATAGCTCGTTCTCTGACTTTGTTCAGGCCTCTTCTAGAATGAGACTTTTTCTCAGACTCCTTCCCCGATCACCCTGTCAGAAGCCACAGGGTCCCTATCGCTCTCAATCTTTTTGCTCTCTTTTGTTTTTCTTTACAGCCATAATCACTCTCTGTTTTCTTTTGTATTCTTTCTTTCTTTTTTTTTTCCTTCATATCAAAAACTACTTTATTACCAAAGTGAGTTTTTTTTTTCCATTTATTTTATTGCATTTTCGGTTTTGGGGTACATGTGAAGAACATGCAAGATTGTTGCATAGGTACGCACATGTCAGTGTGATTTGCTGTCTTCCTCCCCATCACCTACATCTGGCATCTCTCCCCTTGCTATCTCTCCCCAACTCCCCACCCCCACCCGTCCCTCCCCTATTTCCCCCCAACTGACCCCAGTGTGTAGTGCTCCCCTCCCTGTGTCTATGTGTTCTCATTGTTCAACACCCGCCTATGAGTGAGAACATGCGGTGTTTGATCTTCTGCTCTTCTGTCAGTTTGCCGAGAATGATGGTTTCCAGGTTCATCCATGTCCCTACAAAGGACACAAACTCATCGTTTTTGATGGCTACAGTGTGGCGATTCCTCAAGGACCTAGAAATAGAAATTCCATTTGACCCAGCAATCCCATTACTGGGTATATATCCAAAGGATTATAAATCGTTCTACTATAAGGACACGTGCACACGAGTGTTCATTGCAGCACAGTTTACAATAGCAAAGACCTGGAACCAACCCAAATGCCCATCGATGATAGACTGGACAGAAAATGTGGCACATCTACACCATGGAACATTATGTATTATTTCTTTATTGTTTATCTCCCCCATACAATGTAAACTTCGTTAGAGCAGGACCATGTCAGTCTTATTCACTTGTCTATCGCTAGGCCTAGATCAAATATATGTCTTCTTGTAGGCACTACTCAATATTTATTGAATAAATAAACAAATACTTTCCCCCACATAGACATACTCCTCTCTCCAAAGAATCATTTGAGAAGAGAGCTCCACAGAATATATGGCAAATGGATAAGCCCATTTTGCAATGGTAATCAGTCATTATCCAGCTTCTAAAAACCGAGGGTCATGAAGAAAAAAGTAGAGAGCGTGTAGGAGTTTGTAAGAGCATTCTTATCCAACTCCCTTTTCTGATTAGGAGACTGAGGGTCCAAGTCATGAAGGAACTTACTCATGGTAAAAACAGAATTGAGTGACAGAACAAAGACAATGGCTTGAATGTTTTGCTTCCCAGGCACATGGTTCCCAATGTTAGAGTGTGTAGAAAAAAGTTTTATTAGAAGGTTTAGCCCTTCCCATATTTAGAATGCATGAGGATTATATCATAATTATTATGCAGATATAAACCAGGGAGACTTACTTCTTTGAGGTTCAAAAATTACTGACTGAGACCTCATCTCCCATGTGGTACTCCCTCCAGAGATGGATATGCAGGTGTATGGACAGGTGGCTTTATATTCCTATGTGTTGTTCAGGATTCTCCAGAAAAACAGAACCAATAGAATTTATAACTCATATAATAGATCATTGTCTTAGTCCATTTTGTATTGCTATAACATAATACCAGAGACTGGTTAGTTTATAAATAAAAGAAGTTTACTGAGCTCACAGTTCTGTAGGCTGGGAAGTCCAAGGGGCACGATGCTGGCATCTGTTTGGCTTCTGGTGAAGGCTTTTGTGTGGCATCCTATGGTGGGAGGTCAAAGGAGGAGCAGACTCGTGCAAAGAGGGAGAGGAGGAGGAACCTGCTTTAATAACAACTGCCGCTCTTGGGAACCAACCTGTTACTGTGAGAAATAATCCAGCCTCACAAGGGTGAGAACTCACTCATCACTTCGAGAATGGCACAAAGCCAATCCTGAGGGATCTGCCCCATGACTCCAACATCTCCCAGTAGGCCGACACCCTAATACCTCCATGTTGGAGATCAAATTTCATCATGAGTTTTGGTGGGAACAAATGATATCCAAACCATGGCAATGATTAATCTCATTGTGTGTATACATTATATATACATACATATATCTGTACGTTTGTGTGTATATATATATGTATATATACGTATATGTACACATATACGTATAGATATATGTATGTATATATAATTTATACACACACATATGTGTATGTATGTATATATACATACATACATGTATATGTGTATATATATGTATGTATGTATATACATACATATATACACATATATATGTATGTATATAATATCCATATATAATTATATACATACATACATACATGTATATGTGTATATATATGTATGTATGTATATAATTATATATGGATATTATATATATACACAGTTGACCTTTGAACATCATGGGTTTGAACATTGTGGGTCCAGTTGTATGTGGATTTTCTTCCACCTCTGCCAACCCCTAAGACAGCAAAACCAATTCCTCCTCCTCTTCCTCTAGCTCAGCCTGTTCAGAATGAAGCCAGATGAAGACCTTTATGTTGGCACACTTCAACTTAATGAATGATAAATGGTATTTTCTCTTCCTTATGTTATTTTAAGAGCATTTTCTTTAGCTTATTTTAGTGTAAGAATATGTAATGAAATACTTATACAAAGTATGTGTTAATCAACTTTTTATGTTATTGGTAAGGCCTCTGGTCAATAGTAGGCTATTAGTAGTTAAGTTTTGGTGGAATAAAAAATTATATATGGATTTTTGGTTGCATAGGGCTTGACATCCCCAACCTCTGTGTTGTTCAAGAGTCCACTCTGTAGCCAATACCTTGTAAGAAATATCTTTCTAGAAAAAAATTTATTATAAGATATTGGCCCACATGATTATGGAAGGCTAAGTCCTCCCATGTCTGCTGTGTGTGAGCTGTAGAAGCAGTAGAATCGGTGGTATAGTTTGTAGGTCTGGGAGCCAGAGAGATGATGGCATTGAGGTCAGTCTAAGTCTGAAGACTTGAGAACCAAGAGCATCACAGGCAGGGGAATATAGATGACCCGGCTCAAGCACTAAAGCAGAAGGAGTGGGAATCCAACCTTCCTCTGCCTTCTTCTTGCTATTAGGCAGTCAACAGATTAAACGATGCTTGCTTACATTGAGGAGCGCCCTCTACTTTACTCCGTCCACAATTCAAATGAAAATCTCTTCCAGAAACACCTTCACACACATCCATAGAAACAAATGTTTAATCAGGTATTTGGTCAGCCTGTCACTTAGTCAACTGACACATAAAATTAACCGTCACATCCTGCTTCTTCCAACTTAGTGTAAAGTCATTGACTTTCTGTGTATATTCTGCTCCTTTGCCACACCCCCTTGTTCCCAAGTAGCCTCTCAAGGTATTTTGCTAAACCAAAGGAGAAATTATATCATTCCTTTAAGAGGCAAGAGTGTGTTCCATTAGCGATAGCTTTGAAGAACAGATAACATGAGGTAAAGCATTTGAATTATTTTCACCCACTGACTGCTAGTATTTTAAGGATTTAACTTTTTTTTTTTTTTTAGCCGGAGTTTCGCTCTTGTTACCCAGGCTGGAGTGCAATGGCACGATCTCGGCTCACCACAACCTCCGCCTCCTGAGTTCGGGCAATTCTCCTGCCTCAGCCTCCTGAGTAGCTGGGACTACAGGCACGCGCCACCATGCCCAGCTAATTTTTTGTAGTTTTAGTAGAGACGGGGTTTCACCGTGTTGACCAGGATGGTCTTGATCTCTTGACCTCGTGATCCACCCGCCTCGGCCTCCCAAAGTGCTGGGATTACAGGCGTGAGCCACTGCGCCCGGCCAGGATTTAACTTTTAAGATATTTTAACTCTATAGGCATTGTCCATGGTTACTGGAGAGATGAAGGGTACGGTAGAGAATACGCAGACTTTGATGGGGATCTTGGCCTTGATATGTATGAGCTATGTAATTTTAGACAAGTTAAATGACTTATTTAGTTTCTCAATTGTAAAAGAGAAAAGATAATACATTACAGGGTATTAACAAATGAGGTAATACATGTGAAAGTGCTTTGTTATAGACCGCTACATGCAAATGATATCACTATTTTGAGAGCACTCATTTTTACAGTAATTTCACTTCTTTAGCAAACGACTGCATGAGTTTCCCAAGCTCCCTGTCCAAAGGCATTCTTTAGTAGCTGAAACCCTGAAAATGATATTCTCTCTGGAGTGCAAAAGGCAGCTCAGAGAAAGACAAGACATTATGTGTAATAACTTAGAAGAAAACTTGAGAAATAGCCTGCCCCAGTTGAAATTTTTTGAGCAGGTATATTTCATATAATTAGCTAAAGATCTCTGTTGAGACGATTTTACTCCTGAGGGATCGATTTCTTTTCATAATTATACTGGTCAAGATCTTTTTTTTTTTTTTTTTAACTTGTTCATAAAGAGAGCACTTCATTGGCAAAGGTCCTGCCCTTTTAGGCAGGATTGGTGTATTTTGCTCTCTGAATATATTTTACTTGAAGTCCTTTTATGTTTAATTCTTTCCCCCAAGAATAGTACGTCAGCATTCTTGAAGTAGCCAGAAAGCACATATGTGGCTTTTAACCTTTTTTTTTTCTCATTTGTGTGGGGTGGATAACATTGTCTCTCTCCTATTCACCATTCCCTTTGCTCTTACAAAACATTGTTATAAAGCATCTCAAGATACGGGATCAGCAGGACTGTCGTTTTCCTTCATAGAAGAAAGATGAGGATGAGAGAGCTGTCAAATGACTCACCGGTAGTCTCAGAGCTGGTTAGTGGCAGAAGCAGGATTTTTTATTTCCTCATAATACTAAGGGCATTGTCTTGGTATTCTTCTGTCATATAGGCATGTGAATATCAGAAATGAAGAATCCTTTGCCAACCCTAGAGAAAAGGAGAATAATATGCTTATCCATCTCTAAAACAACCTTGCTTATTAGCACCAGTTCTGAGTGTGGGAACTTTTCCAGATACCTTTTCCACTTTTCTTTTCCTTTCATTATCTATGTCTTCATTTGGAGGATAAAAGGAGATGAAAGGTTTGAATGTACAATAGAATGAAAACAGAAAAAAAATTGAGCAACTCACCTTCCTTTCTCATGCATTCATCTGTTTGTTGATTTACTCATCAACCATTGTCGAGCACTCACTATGTGCTAGGTTCTGTTTTAGTCACTGAAGATACAGGAGTAAAGAAAATCAAAACAATCCCAGCCTCATGAACCTTCCAATGTATTGAGAAAGATAGAAAGTCAATGCATCATAAATTATGCAATTACTGTGATTGCAGTGAGGATAAGTGATTGAAAGAAAAGGACAAGGTACCATGAGTCCCTATAACAAGGACATTTTGGCTGAGTGCAGAAATCTAGGGAAGTCTCCTGAGAAAGGACTCTTTAGCTAAGACTAGTAACAAGGGTAGGAATGTGGCGGGGGGTGGAAGCAATCTAGGCGAAGACAAGAGTTTGAGCAAAGATCCCGTCCTGAGGCAGCAAGGATTCCGTCATGTTTGAGAAACATAGAGATTTGAAGTGAGAGAGCAAGTGGAAGGACATAAAGTGACAGGCACAGGAGTTCTTGGTGATCTTTGGTCTTGGTCTTGGAAGAGCTTTGGAGATCACACAGAAGATTTTGACCTCTTCCATAGAGGAATGGAAAATTATTAATTCCAAGCAGATAGGAGCATTATCAGCCCGGCCACAGAGAAAGGAAGGATAGAAAAGGGCAGAGCTGTATTAGATACCTGGTAGGAGATTTTTGCAATAATCTAAGCAAGGAATAATGTTGTCTTTGGCTGAAAAGATGGCTGCTAGGGGATACAGGCATGATACATCTGATCCAGGCTGTGAAGGCAGATTTGATTAGAAGTAAGACTTGAGAGAGAGGAAGATTTTGATGATCACTCCCCAGACTGGGGCATGGGAGACTGGTGGTGTGGCCTAATTCCATACTGATGATGGGGATCACTAGAAGAACAGATTTTCATTTGTTTCTTTGTTTTGTTGTTTGGGGGGTTGTGGTACAAGAGTTATATTTTGGGCATACTAAGTTTGATATGTGAGTCATCAAAATAGAGATATTGATCTTGGCTGTATTGATCCAGAGCTCAGAATAGAGAACTGGGCTGAAGTGATATGTATCTGAGCTATTCACATATAAATGATGTATAAAAGCATGTGGGAGGATGAGGTCATCAGAGAAAGGATGCATGAGAAGAGAAGAGGGCTCAGGAGCAGCCCCAAGGAACAGTTGTTTGGCTTCCTAAGACGTGCATTACAGGAGCTCGTCACTAGCAAGGTTTAGGGTGGGGGCAGCAAAGTGGAAGGCAGTGTTTAGAGATAAGGAGGAAAACCTCACAGAGGAAACTGAGAAAAAGCAACCGGGGTAGAAGGTGAAAAGCCAGGAGAGTGTGATGTTATGGAAGGCAACTGTATTTGTCTGTTCTCCATACAGCTAACAAAGACATATCCAAGACATGGGTAACTTATAAAGGAAAGAGGTTTAATTGATTGACAGTTCTACATGGCTGGGGAGGCCTCACAATCAGGGCAGAAGACGAACAAAAGCTAAGGTACTTCTTACATGGGGTTAGGCAAGAGAGAGCTTGTGCTGGGGAACTCCCATTTATAAAACCATTAGCTCTCTTGGGACTTACTCACTACCATGAGAACAGCATGGGAAAGACCCACCCCCATGATTCAGTTACCTCCTGTGCTGGGTCCCTACCATGACACATGAGGATTATGGGAGCTACAATTCAAGATGAGATTTGGGTGGGGACACAGCCAAACCATATCAGCAACACAAGATGTGTGTGAATGCTGCCGAGTGCATGGGCAGGATGCAGTGCCATGAGGATAATGGATAACCCAACTTCAAGGTGGGTGAAACACTCCAGCATGAAAACTCAGCATCTGATTTTGTCCTAATAACTGAATGGCTCATTACTAAGCCTTTTAGAATTTCTTCTTCTGAATATTTTTATGATTAAAATTATTTTAAAAAATATTTCACCTGGAAGCTAGTTGGAAGTAGAATGAAACCCATGCAGCAATTAAAAAATGAACTCTGCTGACTCACCTCTGGATTTTGGGGCAGTGGATAACCAATGTAGTAAATTGGAGCCAATACTGTTTCTGTATTGCTAAGCACAAGGCCTTAACAAAATAAAATATTGAAAGTAGCTTTTCCAGTATGACTAGACGATGTGGGGCATGCCTGGTGTGTCACTATCGTAAATTGATTCCTGTAGTTTCCTGATTGAATTTTTTGAGTCTTCAATATGAATGGGGTGGAGTCTAAAAAATGAGACTTAGGTGAAAGATTTTAGAAACA